ACCTGACTAAAAGCCGCAGGGTTCAAAGCTTGTGCAAAAAGTAGCGGCTTATAGCCCGACAATTACGGTAAATTGTTTTTCACCTGGATGAGAGGCTCTCCACACATCAATCAAACCCAGTTCTGTAAGCATGTTGGAACCTAATGGCATTCGAACTTTTCTTTTGCCGGTGGTTGGATGCATCCAGTTTTGGTTGGAGTTGAACATTAAGGTCGCCACCAAAAATAAGAACTCCTCGTGTTTTCAAGACCACTAAATCGAATAACTTCTCATAAAAAGATTTGGAGCTTCCTGGCGGGGCATATACATTGAATAATGTTACTTCCTCCTCTTCTAATTTACCCTTTTCCAAAATGAACCTCCCTTCTTTGTCCTTTACCTCTAAATAGAATTCAAAGTTAACAGCATTGGGGATCAGTATGGCTACTCCTCTTTTGTGACCTGATTTATGAGACAAGTAATAGGTATTTTGGAAACCAAATTTTTTAATTTTTCATGTTCTAAAGAAGATAGCTGTGTCTCCTGCCAAAAGATTACCTGCAGCTTCTCACGTTTCATTTTAGCTATTATTTTACTCCTTTTAATCGGATTATGTAGCCCTTTTACATTTAGCGTCATTATTTTATTTTCCTGATGATGCTTATAACTTTTTCAGTCTGTGTACCTTTGTGCAACATCACCCATGCTAACCAGAAAATGAACAAGAACAATGAACAAGTAAACCGAAAAAACAAAACCAAAGACTTCCAAATCCAAAGTTCAGGTGAAACCTCAAGTTGAGAGGAAATCCTCGTGCCAGTCGAGGGCCTCTCATCAGCGTCAGGGAAAATACCCAGCACCAGTATCCTTCTTTGAAGCCAGGGTTACCCAACCGGTATAAAGTTCCTTCTTTAACAAGCTCAGGGAGTAATTGCAAAAAGACTCTTCACAGAATACATGGAGAGCAGAGGAACACATGTCATTTGAGAAGTAAAAAGCCCAAGTGTATTCCTTCTCAGGTAAAAATAAAAGTAAAATAATCACTTTAGGCAGGCTCATAATTGGAGTGCTTGATGAACTGGTTGAAATAGTAACAATAAAATATTTAATTCTTAAATATAGAATTCAGCTTATACAATCCTGAGCAAAACAGTTTTCAAATTCTTGGTAGATTTACTAAGGAGTAATATGAAGTCCTCCTCTCTGCATGAGAGCAGGATGCCTCACTTTAAAGCTCCAGTGGAGACGTAATGACCCTCTTGATTTCAGTCACAAGAGTCGGATGCTCCCGGTGGGGCCCGATGGAAGCTCCGTAGCTTCTCTCTTATCCGCCGCTGGTCCACTCCCTGTCTGCGGCGATCTGCGCCGGCCATCTCCCACATTGCTAGTCTCTGCTGTTTTGGCGCCGTGGAGCCTGGTTCCTTGATATCATCCAGGCAGAATCCTCCGGCCCTGTCTGCTCCAGGAGAAACTAAACAGGATGCAGGTGGACCCCATCATCTGGGATGACCAGGAAGAGGAGTACAGGAGCCTGGTGAGGAACTTTGTCACATGGAGTCACACAAACCACCTGCAACTCAACACTTCAAAGACCAAGGAACTGGTTGTGGATTTCGGGAGGTCCAGACCAGGTCCACTGCCAGTTCAAATAGAGGGGGAGGAGGTGGAGGTGGTCAACA